TGCTCTAAATACCCCTCCGTTTTTCTCTACAACTTTACGACTACGCAATTTTTTTTTAATTCTAAGAGCAGGAGCTTTCTTAGCAGGTACGATTTAATTAGCTCTACCTCTTAAACACAAATATCTGCTGTAGTAAAGGTACAGAATTAAGCACTGCAGGGCAGAACTTTTAAACTTTAGGAGGCAATCATCCGGCTTACCCATCCCCCTCCTTTTGGTACCCACAACGCTTATACATGCCAGAAAAGTTAGTATTAACGCAGCAGCGGTATATACCGTACTCTAGAAACTCCTCAAAGCTCTTAAACGACTCCATAATGCCGTAGTTCCTCCGTACCCAGCTCTTTAGCACCCGAAAAGACTGCTCAATAGGGTTGTAATCAGGTAAGTAAGGAGGCAACAGGACAAGTCGAACGCCTGCTGCATCACAGAGAGCGTGTACTCAAGGAGACCGGTGGCTTAAAGCGTTGTCCATAATAATAATCGATCGCGGGCCAGGCCAGGGGTTGCACAAAGGGAGAACTTGGTGCTCCATGAACGCTTCAAAGAGCTGCTTTGTTAGCCCTCCCTGCAGTATTTCCCACGCAAAGTAACCATTCACGTCCATTGCTAGTATCACCGAAACTCTCCTTGTTCGATTGCCAAAGTATGGAGCAATTGCGGCAGTTCCCAAGGGCGCCCAGGCTCTTTTCCTGTCAGCAGTTCGCTCATTTGCTGCACTCTCATCAAGTGCTACAATCTGAATAGGATCCCATCCTCTCGTTGATAGGTAGAAAACCTCTCGTAGCAGCTCATTACGGTCCTTGGTGTGCTTTGAAGCTACTTTTCGACTCCATTGGGCCCGGCAGAGGTAATCAAAGACGGTACGCTCGGCGATAACAAGGTTGTACTCGTCGAATAGGAACTCAACCATCTCGTCCAAATAGGCCGTCGGCTTCTCACGGAGGTACTCTAGCAGGGCCTATCTTGTAGCATTAGTACGCTGGTTTGCAGTCGTCGTCTCTCCTCATACATTCTCCTGAGCCTTCACCATCAATCGAGGCCTCCCTTGAACGGTTGAATTAGGAGGATAAGGGCTTCCGTATAGGTCAAGACTGAGCTCAATACGCTTCACTGTATTGCGGCCAACACTACGGTTCCTAGCGATCCATTTGAATGGACGTTGATAAGAAAGATCAAGGAGAACAGTCTGCAAAAGGCCTGCTTCAAGCTTTCGACCCATAACAAGAGGTTTACAAGTGAACAAGATGTAATTTACAGCTCAAAATCCCGATCCTTGACCTCTATATACCCCTATACTACTCTAATACTAATCCCAGAACGTCACCTTGACGATCTCTCCCAGATCCGGGGGGGTCCATATGTTTTCGCAGGCACCGATATCTTCAGCGGGTCTCGTCTCCTTCTCGTAGCGAGTCTTCTGGTCGATCCAAATGGCACATAGCAAGAATCAATTTTTCTGCCTCTTCACCAAACGCAATGTCCCCGATGTAGCCGAGTTTTCCTAGACCGACTCTTGCATATGCTGCGTAAGCGGTATTTGTAGCTTCTATAGTCGCCTAGAAGCGGTAATTGTATAAGTATGAGTTCCAGTTATCCACACACCATCTACGACCGCCAATACCCAGAAGAACTCAAGCCCAGCTCACGTATCGTCGCTGGCTATGTTCCGCAGAAAAGTGTGGGCTTGCATTCAGGATAGGCACAACTTACTGCATAGACCGTTTGAGCAACAGGAACCTGTCCCAGATATACAGCTGCCGCGTAAAAGACCGGCACTAGACTTTCAGTCCGAATCATACACTGATCAATCGGCATCAACCTCGTCTCGTATCTCGTAGACTCCCCCGTCCTCCAAGCGGCCCTCCAACGCAGATCAAAATACCTCTTGAACATATAATTCAGCTTATCAATTTCTACAATCGTGGCAAACAGACTCATCAGCACCGTTGTGCCTCCGCGTTTCGTGAACTCTGTCACTGCAGACAGTAGCTTTCGGCTCTCCTCCGTATATGCTGTGATCACCGGGTCGGAGACTAGAACGATGCTGGGCCATCCCGAGTCGATATAGTTGAGCGCGTCCTTGATTGTGAGGGACTCGTGGACGATTGATCGGGAAAGAAGTTTAGGGAGGAGATGTGGGTGAAGTTGGCGTGCGGAGAAGGAGAAACCTTCGAGGGAGAGCACAAGGACATTCGGCATGGTCAAATACCTTCGAGTAGATTCGCGCCCTAGATCGGGGTATCGAAGTTGTTTAAGCTGGGATCTGTGGGATTTGACTTAGACTAGAGAAAGGAGAGTAATGAGCTGCGAAGCATCTGAAAATGAGCGCAATTCTTACTCACGTTTCAGCAGTGATTGGAATGGTCTAGTCCGACTTGACCTTGGTCTGATCTAAGGATTTCTCAAGGCGGTAGTCGGACCGGTCTGTCTATAAACAGGTCAGAGTGGCTGAATCTTAGACTAATGCAGTTAGAGAAGAGTCGACACAATAGGCACTTGCAGTGTGTCTATCAACTAAGCAAGTTACTTGGTTGACGCTAGGGTCGATTCTCAGATCCCAATCGTGTTGAAGGATAGCTTCAATCCTTCTTGGGGATCACCTCAAGCTAGAGCTGACAAAGGCTAAAGCTTGCATTAGCATGGCTAGGCTGAACCACTAACGGCGAACCCGATCTGCTCGCGCTTATCTCGTCATCTCGATAACATGCAGCCGGAAAGACGACATCATTACCGTCAGCCGACCCGGTGCAACGGTCGCTGCGGGGCCCTAGCAACGCAAGCAGCACAGGCTGGCCGCCTCGCCACAGAGGTGGCCCACCTGCTCGCACATACGCATAGATTTCATGTCCCTGGTTGCAAGCGATTCCTCGCGGTCGCAAGCAGTCGTTCATAACTGTGTTAAAATCGCCTGTAAACCATGGCCCTAACTAGCTAAAAGCTTGTTGGTATATATACGCTGCTCATTTCTTGGTTCCAAATCAATACGTCTTCCTCTGACTGCAGCGTAAGGGCCACTTTCTGGAGTTATAAACTCTCCCATATCTACAGCTCACGAGCATCAGCCAACCTCTACGATCGCATAATGGACTTCCTAGGTCATCCTAGTGTAGTCTGTGCTAGCTGTCTGGCCTATCCCCAAGAGCCGTTTCGTCCAAATGATTCTAAAGAAGCCTACTGCACGTACGCTCACCTTCCAGACGCTTCCAACACGCCTCACGATCACTCACTGTCCAACTTCTTAGACACCGACTCGTTCTTTGGCAAGACAACGGCATCGCTCGAGGTGGCTTTAGACTTGCTACCTAAGACACAGAGCTGCTTCGATCTAACATTGCCGGCAACCAGCATTACTGCGCCAAACACTACCGCGACTGCCAAATGTGCCTTACAGCAAGCCCCCAACCTCACTCCGTTCGGACTGCTCGATCAGATCTCTTGCGGACGCTCGACCGATCCTCTGAGTGAATTAGCCTGCATCTTACCAGACAATGACTGCTTATGCATCCCTTCCCCCTGCAGCGATGCAACGGAGGCAACAGTCTCGCCACGTGTCTTGAAGCGTCAACCATTTCCGCTATCAATCGAGCACAAATAGGAACCTACGTCAAAACGCCCACGGCGCAAGCAGGGACGCCCGCCCCTCCATTGCAGCGACGAGGCTGAACCCTTCTCAACATCTTCGGGAAGGTCGTGCAAGCAACGCCGTAGTCGAATGCCGCACAACTATGTCGAACGTAAGTACCGCGAGGGCCTGAACTTAGAGCTCGAGAGGTTACGACAAGCGGTGTCGACCTTGCCACAAAGCGGCGAGAGTGATGCCATAGGACAGCATAAGCCAAGCAAAGCCGTAGTGATAGCGGCCGCTGTTGATCACATCGGAAGAGTCGAGAAAGAGAAGGATGCGTTGCAGGAGGAAAACGAAAGGATCAGGTATGCACAGGGGAGGACGAGGCAGAAGAAGTTTAATGACCTCGTTATCGAGTAGAGATTACGGTTGTTGATCTTTTCGTGAATCTTCCATGCAGGGTAGGCGCAAGAAGCAAGAAGTAAAAACACGCAGCTATTTCTACTGCCGCCATAGCGTACTAGCTTGTAGACTTGAAAACACACCGCGCTTTGGAAACAACGAAGAGAGTGTTCGTCTGCCTCTGTAGGGTGCGTCTGCTAGACTGTAATCGAGCTCTGCAATATGTTCAGAACAGTAGGCTAGGGTATCAATAGCTGGGCTTGCGTGTCCGAAAGGCGCCTGAGCTTAGACCACTTTCGTAAGCGTAAGAACGTCTTATGCTAGTTGCGTTATCATAACGTTTGCTCTAGCTATACTAGTAAAGTATTTGCAGCGGAAGAGACTGATCTTTAGCGGCCATGCCGCTATAGGGGAAACGGTCAAGGTATGATGTGATAGGAGAATCTGTCGGTTTCTGTAAGAAAGATAAAAGTACGACGCGCCTCGCTACCCGCAATCTCGTACAATGCGATCGCCTTAGTCCTCTTTAATTTTTCTGTTATAACCAAGCTCGATTGCGACAGATGTGAGTGATTGATTACAGTAGTGCGAAGGCACACGTGCGGACCGAGTATGCGCTCGGTGCCCGCGTTTAGGTATCCCGCCTTATCCTTCTTGGGCATCTTTTGGACCCCTGATAGGCTTGAATGCTTAGCAGATAAGCCTAAAAAGCAGCAAAATCTAGATCCTGTAGGAAGAGCGCTCCACAATTTTATTGTCACATGGTGTCGCAGGCTAAGCGCTGTCGGGAACCTTGTTACTAATAACGCCGTGCGATGGCCTTCATATAAGGTCTGTTAGGATGCTACATCCAATACAATCGCTAGTGACTGTAACACAAACATTCTTCTAATTATTCTGTCTACAATACCCGCACCTAACCGTGCGACAACATCCGTTTAGGCACGATACCCGCACATACACGGTAGTACTGTAGCTAAGCTAACTGCATACAGTTGGGAGCCGCTTACTCTCTATTAATCACATGTTCTCAAAGGTTGGGAAGGTCGACGAGCGAGACATATCTGTCCGCGACACCTTCACAGACCTGATCATTAGGGCCGTCCCCACTAGCGCGACAAACAGTCGGAATAGTAGCGGTACCGATCTTAGGATTGCTATAAGGATCGTTAGCACACTCTTGTCCCTCGTAACCCCTCCCTTCGCGCATAAATTGTTAATGCACATCATTCTCATCGAGAAGGGTCACGTGCTCAGGCTGATAAATCGGAGTAGCTTACAGGGTGTTTCCGTGCCTCACGATTAGACCGTTATATCGGCTCTGGAACGCAAAGCTTATACCGCTGTTAGGACCACATGTCAAGAACACGTCGTCTTGAAGCCAAGCGGCACTGGCCGAGCAATTGAAGTCAAGCCAACCGCCCTCGTTAGTGGCCGTGATATGGAAGGAGAGCACGCTGTAGTAGTTCCCCTCGGGGCGACGCCCAGTGAACTTGGTGATCTTCCAAGTCCAATCGCCAGTAGTAGTGACTGGACAGTTGTCCTGGCGGGATTCGAGAGGTGCGGCGTTAGTGAGACCACCGGCGGTGATGAGGAGGAAAGCGAGGGTAGTAAAACGCATTTTGGTATGTACAGAGGTTGTTGGTGAGAGAAGCGGATGTGATGGAACGACTGTGTAGATGATGGATTGATTGACTGCTAGGTGAGGAAGCTGTTGTTTGATGAAGATCAATGAAGGTACCTTTGTACCCTTCTTATATCTATCGCATTTCAGACTAGACGTAAGTCCATGCACAAAGAGCCCTTCACATTCGCGTCACGATTTTTATAAGCTTTAACGAGAAAAGCCCTTCCATCACCTGGGTATATTTCACCCCGCTACCTACGCAGGAACATAGAAAGAGAGATCGCCGTACAGATTTCCCCGCGGAACCCATTATTGCCCGATCTGGCTTTGAGGAGACACTTCTTATTGACGAAGCAAAAGCAACGCGCTTCCGGGGGTATCTGGCAGAAGAAACGCCGAATGCTTTAAATGCTGAACTAGCATGTTTGCTAATTAAACACAATAGCAAGGAGAATCGAAAGAAGAAAGAATATGTGCTGACGGCTATGATTGGCTTCGAGATACGTCTACAAATACAAGGTCTGGATATGACTTGAGATGCGGAGGCACCGTCCTTTGCGCTAGATGTGACCGGGAGGTCTCGCTACTGTAGACAAACAGTCGTAAATATTAGTAAGACTTTTTCAGAAACATGTTTCGAAAAAGTCCGTGTGTTGAGATGGCGTCTTGTTACTCGTACCCTCTACTACATTGCGCCTATTGATACAGTGCATGCAATGCTAGCATCATGCTAGGCCGCTACTAGACAAATATCTAAGGATCTTAGAGATGGATGCATTAGGTCAGCTAGATGACATCGGAAACGAAAAGCTTATACCGTGAAAGCTTGTTGAGACTAAGTGCAAAGGGATTAACAAACATGTAGCTTGCATTGGCCGCGAAAACTATACCTGCTAGACTGAGATACCGATAGTGCGACAGGTGTTTTGCAAACCACCTATAGCAGTTCTTTGTCGCACTCGACCTGGTTAATGACACCGACGTCCACGAATCAAAGGTGCGCTGGCTCTAACCTGAAAACTCATCTATAATGGCGCATCCGTCACGCCTTTGCGTTTGCAAGACTAATAACTGGTCAGGGGCACTAATGCGTATTCATATCGACGACTGCGTGAGCTTGTCCCCGACTCACCTGTGATACAATCTGGAATTAAGCTGAGGAGATGCTGTTATCTTGCGTTGGGTTGGGTTTGTGTGCTATTGCGTCGTAGGCAGTGAACAACCTTGTTGACGCGAAATCATTGTATAACAAGGGAGATGACGTCTCTACTATGAACGCCTCGCCGGATGGTCCACTAATGGACACCATGACGTTATCGCCGTATTTCCAACTTATGGGGTCACTTTGATCTTCGTACTATGGTATTAGGCATAACTAGTGTAGGTGGAGACTGTCGCGTGGCGGCTTACAAGATGTTGAGCACAAACTATTACAGACATTACCGCTAATGGTGGGCCACGCGCTTCTGTCCCCGTTTGTAATTTTGACAGTTACGAACACACAGTCTAGTTCTGCCCGATTGTTATTAAACGGGATCTTAGAGCCATCTTTATATTGTTTGAAGTAGCTGAGCTTTGGCTTATTATTTACAAGGACATTGCACCGCAGTGGTAACGAAGCTTTCGTATGCTTGTGAGCTAACACCTAATCGCCGAAATTCCTTCGGCGGCTGTGGCGTGGTCTAGACTTCTATCTATGGCGATCATCTAGAACTACATTCGAGACGAGGCATGTGAGAATTTGTTTAGAGTTAGGGGAGTGCCGGCTCGTGTGACAAAGTCTGGTAGAGAAGCGCACACATGCCCTAACAGCCACTAGAAGCTGCGGAAGCTGCCGACATAACGTGAGCATCGTTCGACCTAAGAGTGTGAGAGGCATCACGGACATTTTTTTCGTCACTGCGGTTAAGAACGATGCGACTTCCTGTGGCCTAAAGGACAGAGATGTACTTCATGATTAGTTCTACTAATGGGAACCATGAAGGGATATAAACCGCGAAGATTCCCTATTAGAAGAAACTCCACTATTATACAGCTTCTTGAGTACGTTGTTACTTCCCGCCAATCTTGGTATAGGAAGCACGGTTGCTTATGTTATCTTCTACTATGGGCACCACGTCAACGAGCATGAACGAGCTGTGGCATATTGTTGCTGTCACCTCCAACAAATTGCGCGTCACCTCAAGTCAGACACAGGATGACCTACGGCGTTTGGCCCTCCTCTGCAACACCCTCGATCAAACATGTTGCTGCTACATTCAATGATGGCTGTGTCAATGTTCCACGACAGCAAAGAAGAGGCTCTACCAGGAAACGAGCTTTACGCTTCTCTGAATGAGTCTGAGGGCTCTGACGTTTACGAAGATGTTGATATCACCTACGGTGTTGATTCTCTAGTTGGCAAGGAGAAGCCCCAGTCGCAGGAAACAAATTATGGTTGAGTTTTACTACACACCTGCGTAAATATAAGCATATCACTAACTTTATTCTATCCGGATCTGTGAACCCTCTGGTATTGGGTTGCGACGATAGATTTGACGGAATGTGTCGAGATATGTCAGGACTACGGTTCCTTGACAGTCACGGGTCGATACACGATCCTCATTCAGGTGGTCGGGTTAAAACGGATATGTATAGAGCGACAGAAAGCAGAAAGGGTGACTGCTGTGATCGGCAGAAGGAAACGGGGAGAGCAATGGAAGATCAAGAGGCTGTTGAAAAAGAGCTGGACTGTGGCCGATACTCGATCAACTTCTGAAACGAAGTGTTTTGTTGGAGTAGTAGAAGATTGTGAGGATAGCAAAATTAAGAAATGGAACAGCTATATAAGTACCCAAGTGAAAGAGTGGATTCTCTAACCAAACCTTCCCACGCAACAGACCATCCTACCTTTAGTAGCATGGGGTGGAACATTACACACAGGTGACACTAGTATGCTACGAGTATATTCAAGCATGTTGATCTAGACTATTAAGGGCGGCCCCTTTTCAATTGAGATATTGTAGCAGTAATCTCTGCGGGTAGCCTGCTACCGTGTCCGTGCGCGTTTTGAACATGTTCGAGTTTGAACACCCACCAACGGTATAACTTCACTGTCTATTGCTAGATTCTAGTTGCTTGAAAAGTCTTTAAGATTGTGTCTTTGGTGAAGGAGTTGAGCTAGGCAGGCCAGAACAAAGAGAAGAGGTCTCCCTTCTTGGTTGAAAGCAGGCCTTGGCTCTTGTGGAGGTACTTGGTAAGCTCCTTGGAGTAATCGGAGGAGAAAGGCTTGAACATCACCACATTAAGTGGCCGAAGAGTTTGATTTGAGTGAGGGGGAAATACAGCAAGGAGGATCTTGTGTTTATTACAGTATCTAATAAAATCCTTCGTAAAGTGAGAACAATGGCCATCAAGGATGAGTAAGCGGTAAAATGAGCGTGCTTTAGGCTTGGTGTAGCGCTTGGACACCTGTTCAAGCCAGGCAAGGCCAATATTATTGTTTGACCAGCTAGAAGCGGATGAGGTGATGAAGACTGAGTGCTCTCCTGCCTCAACATCCTCAACCCAGCTTGATTGCATGGCTCCTAAGGCAGCCTGGTATCTAAGGCTTGGTGGTAAAGCTGATCTATCTGCACAAACACAAGCTAGGAGTGTAACCAACTCCCGGGAGCTATCCTGAAGGGCCGCCCTAACCTCCTTTCTCTCCCACATTTCCCTTCTAAATACTCTCTTTGACCTGCTAGAGATGCCAATTAAGAAGCCCTTCTCATCTATATTGTATGTGTAGCGCTCCTTAACGTTATAGTGGTTGATATTGCCATGTAGGAGGTTGAAATAAAGCTTGTATTTCTCCTCTGAATGAGCCTGGTGGCGGTTGCGGTCTACTCCAGTTGCTATTGTGAGATGAGATAGACCTGGTTTCTGTTGATGTAGCGGGTAACCCAGCTTTCACTAACCTCCTCCTTGGCTACAGCAGACGCGAGATTTATGTACAATATGGATGACAAGGGCTTCATGATAGGAGTCCAGTCACGGTCAAAGAGAATCTTCTCTAGAGTCTCTCCAGAATCCGGAATCAGAAGGTCTTTGATCCAAGATGGCAATCGAGCATAGTTGCTAACAAGCAAGTATACTTGCAAGTATTTGATAGCTTAACGTGCCTACCGCTGAATGGCGCACACTACTAAAATGGCGCACCTCTACATAAAACTACCTTTGCACATTAATAACACTCTACTACAACATGCAATAAAGGCGTACAATAGCTAGAATTAATCCTCTACTTCTACTGCATCTTTCTTGTATGTGCGCTTGTTATGTCCTGCCTCGCCGCAGTTCTTGCAGCGTCGAATACCTCCTGCACTACTACCTGCGCGCACCCTCTCCTGACGCCTCTTGTGAGGAGTAGTTGGGCAGGCACTGAGATATCGGTATAGGCTTGTATTAAGACGAATCCTTAAGGAGCTATCAAGCCTCTCGGAGGGATAATATATATCTACGTCACGTGATCGTGGCTAGTGTGGGCCGACGGTGTCCCGAAGGGTCCCCGGTGGCTCGCCACGCTGTGGCTGGAACCTGTGGTCGTAGAACATCGTGACACCTCTCTACCTCTAACTAGATCTTAACATCCCTTTGCTTAACTATATCCTCTGCCTCTGCCTGCGATAGGGTCCCTCCCTTCTGGATTCGCTTTTTCTTACGCTTTTTACGTTTAGATGCTGCCTAGTTTGCCTCCTTAAGGTTAGCTATTCTAGCCTCAAGCAACGTGTGTAAGTGCACCTTTAAAGTTAATCCCTTTTTAACCTGCAGCACTATCTTAATAATAGAATTAGGTAATAATTCCTTGTAGTCTGTTATCCTCTTGACAATTAGCGTCGTTTAAGCCTCTATCTCCTAGGCGTTGCTTAGTGTTTTAGGTTGCTAAGGGGTAGGCCCTAGTGCAGGTAGTGTTAGCGTACGAGGCTGTACTTTAAGCCTAGATAACACTACATCTAGGTTATGTAGGACTAAGC